AGTAGTATCACTGGGTCAAAGGGTATGCACCGTTGAGTGGGTTTTTAGATATAATTGCAAATGGTTTATCAGAATGGCTGGGACTTTTCTCATATCCACTTCAATGATTGTAATTTTCCTTTTTATTTCTGGCATCTTTGCCAGTCTTATGGGTATGAGATAGCACCTTAACTGACTTTTCTCTTTCTATTAGTGATTTGGAACATTTTTTCAGCTGGTTATTGATAACTTGCATCTCTTCCCTGGAGAACTGTCTATTCATGTCTTATGCCCATTTATCGGTTTGGGGGTGAGTAGCAAATTGAACTCAGATCTCCTTGGCACCAAGTTCTATGCTTTTCCTACTGTATCACACTGACTCTTGTGTTTCCCTGAATCCTCATGCTACAAAAGTGCATATACATAGTAGACTGATTTTGGAGCTGGGACTTTCTCTAGTTTAATCTTCTTCATTTGGTTAAGGCATAAAGAGGTTTAGTGATTTGCCCAGTATGACACAGCCGCCTAGAGTCAGGAGCCAATTCATAGGCATCGTGGAAAGAGCACAGGATTTGAGTCTGAAGACATGGGTTCCATCTAAGCTCTGGTACTTTGTGATTTTACACAAGTCATTTAACCTCTTTGAGCCTCAGTTTACTTATCTTCAAAATGAAGGTGTTGATCTAAATGCTTCCAAGGTCTCTTCCTGATATGAATCTATGATCTATGAACAAGTATAAGGGCAGGGTTAGATAGTTTGCCAGAATTCTCTTTGCATCGTTCGTTTGCCACCATTAGCTTGTATGCTTGAAACAGCCAAGACCCTGCCACTCTGAATAAAAGACACAATTATCAGGTCAGGGAAGAAAAGGAAAAGAGCAGTAAGGTAAGAGTTCTGCAGAGACAAGAGTTGTCAAAAAGCTTTGTCCATCAAAACAGGGAACAGAGGAACTGTAACAGAAGGATTGGGCAACAATCAAATGAAACCATGTAGGAAGCTGACAAGAGGCCCCTCAGAGAATCACAATGCTGACAAAAGACATGCAAAGTTGAGAGCTGTACATTTGTGTGAAAATCCACTGCGACAAGAAGCCTCGCTTAAGTCACCTATGGGGCTTGGCCTCCGGGCCAGAACTCCATTGTCCCTGCACATCCAATGAAGTCAGCCATGGATAAAGCAAATGGCCAATGAAAGGGAAGTGTTTCAGCAAGCCAGTCTTTCAAGAACAATTTAGCTCCTTACTCCAGAGTCCTGGCTGTAATTGACAGGTATTTCTTTATCCGACTCCTTAACCAAACAGACACAAAAGTGCTGAGCCATTTCAAATCTTCCTAAAGCCTGGGCTTATCTTGGAAACAAGAGTTTCAGGTATTTCCTGCCAAAAGATCAGATCTACCTTCAGAACTTTCCAGCATTATTGGTATGAATAATTTGCCACAAAATTTCTTGACCTTCTGTGCTAGGATTTGTAATATTTGGGGAGAGAAAAGGAAGGAGATACGTCATGTTGGAGGTAGAGAAAAATGTTATTAAACTTTAGTGAAATAGAGATGATAATTACCTCTTGTGGGTGGGTGAGGGCTAATTAGTTACCACTTTTGATGCCTCCAGTATTATTAAGCTTCACTATTTGCTGAGAATGAACAGGAGGCTTTTATGTCTTAGTGAGTGAAAATGATTGCTCTGGATAAGTTAGAGATTTCTGATAACTGGTCTCTATCTTTACCCCTTGGCAATCTTTAGACATTTACATGTAAATTGGGAAAGTTGCATTACTTTCCTGATGCTAATCTGCAGAGTCCTTAGATTTAGAATACTTCTGTGTACTCCATACCTTAGAGTTAATCTAATCTAACTCCAAACTTTTAAAAGTGAGGGGAAGAGGCCCCCAAAAGGGAAGTGACTGGTCCAATTCACAAGGTACTAAATAGTAAAACTAGTATTTAAATCTAGCAGAGAGTAGAGTTAACTGGGGCTTTGTTCCAAAGCAGGAATTTCCTAGGGGTTAGAAATTTGCCTCCATGCAAGAAAATTAAGGGGCTTCTGATAATGTTTCTCCTCTTCTAAAGAAGAAAGATGAGTGGTGAGTCAGGGATAGACCCCAGTGGTGGGATGGGGTCAGAGCTGTGGCTAGGTGGAGATGAGAATGTTGGAAAAGATGGGGAGAATGGCAATGAGAAGAGATCAGTTGTAGGTTTCCTTGGATGAGGAGTGAGAGAAGGCAGACACTGGTTGATGAGACCTGAACTCTGGACTGGTTGGGGTCTCTTGGCCAGGGAATTGATTCCCTTGGTGTTAACACTGATGTCCTTTCAGGGCTCACCTCATAGCATGTCTTATGAGTGGGAGGAAGGGGGAAGTATAGTTACTGATTAACCTGCAATCTGGAAAGTGGGGCTTCCACTCACAATTACCTTGCAGAGGTGAGGAGCCCATTGGGGAGGACATTAAGACCTGGGAAAGGAGAAGGTGCCTTATCCCCTTACTAGAGGGACGTATCTTCTTGAAGATAATTGCCTAACTCCAAAGATCTGTTCTTTTCCTGGAAGTTTTGCCCTCCTTGGCCTCTCAAACTTTGCCAAGTCCCAGAGAAAGTTGGAAGGTGAGTGGTTGGGGCAGGAGGAGCCAGATGAAAATTTGGAGAAGGCTTACTCTTTGGAACAAGTAAGGGTGCTGAGGAGCCTCAGGGCCCAGAGAAGAGGGAACCAGATGCCCAAGGGAGGGGTAATGCTAGGAGTTCTCCCCAGTAGTTTTCTCAAAGCTTGTTTAGTCCTGGAAGAAGGGTGGTATTCTCCCTCTTAGTTCCTCCTACCCTGTTTAGCTGTCTATTCTGGGGCATGAGAGCAGAGGCTTCCTGAAGGTCAGTGCCCTGGAGGCTCCCAACCTGCCTGAAGGAGGGCTGGCCTAGGCTTCAGAAAACATGTTTTAATCTTCTATCTTCCACCAGCTGCAGAGGTCTCTGCTGCCTCTTTAAAATGAAGACCTTAGACTAAGTGGTCTCTATAGCCCCCTTTTTGGGCCCACCAAGTGGTACAGTGGATAGAGTGCCAGGCCTGAAGTCAGGAAGATGAGTTCAAATCTGACCTCAGACATTTACTAGCTGCGCGACCCCGTGCAAGTCATTTAACCCTGTTTGCCTCAGTTTCCTCATTTGTAAAATGAGCTGGAGAAGGAAATGGCAAATCACTCTAGTATCTTTACCAAGAAAACCACAAATAGGCTGAAATGACCGAACAAAACAAACAGTACTTTCTAGCTCTGTCGGTCATAGGTTTATAGATTTAGAAATAGAAGGGACCTTCAGGGTCATCCACCCCTCACTTTACAGATGGGCAGCTGAGGCTCAGAGATGGATAATGACTTGCCCAAGGTCACTGAGGCAGGATTGGAAACCATGTCCTCTGACCAGAAAAAAGCAGGGTGCAGTCTGTGAGATTTAGGCTTCCTTTGATTCCACCCCTCCCCGCCTCTCAGCTTTAATTTCAGTAAGAGTTGAGTAAGCTTTTCCTTTGTGACCTTGAGCAAGCCTTTTTTTCTCTGAGGGTTTCAGTTTCATCCTCTGCACAGAGAGGAGCTGGGCTAGTTGATTTTTAAGGCTCCTTCCAGATCTAATTCTTTTGAGGGGGGTTGCTTGCTGTACTGGCTCTGGAGTCACAGGATTTGAGTTCAGATCTTTCAGGAATGAGCTGGCAAACGTCTGGCAACCAGTTCTACAAACATGCATGACGCACTGTTAAGTTTCATTGGTGTTATTAATATTTTCTCTACCACTTTATTAAAGTCTAGACAATCAGCAAAACAGTAAACGAAGCCCCAATTTGTAGTTTTCTGATTTCCAAAGAGTAAGTGCTCTTCCTGAAAATTTAATAAATGATCCTAACGGAGCTAGCTCCAGCACATCCCTGAGCTTATCTCTGGTGTTTACTACCTGTGTGATTTTTAGGGAAGTCACATCACTTAATCTCCCTGAGCCTTAGTTTCTTTTAACTGTAAAATGAGGAAGTTGGACAGTGTAACTTCTGAGATCTCTTTCAGATCTATGTCTACGATCCTATGATTCTTTCAGCCCCCTCTTCCAAAAAAGCATCTCTCTGTTTGCTGGGAGGATTTTTATTCCACCTTTCCCTTCTTCTATCTCAGTGAAATAAGCTTCTTAGATGCCAAATGTGAAGAAACAACTAACCCTGGCTAGTTATCAAGAATTCTTAGTTCACGGAGGAAGCAACCACATGGTCCAATCCTTCTGGAAGGAGATCTGTTTGATCATACCAGGGATTCAGAACTTGAAGGGGCTTTTGGAGGTCAGTCCGTTGGCCCAGTCCCTTCATCCTGTGGATGAGGAAACTGAGACTCAGAGAGGCTGAAGGACTTGTTCAGGGCTTCACAACTAAGTGTTTGGGGCAGGATTTGAATATGTCATCCTGATTCCAAGTCTAGTTACTGGCAGAATCAGGATAGGAATTCAGATCATTTGGCTCAAAGTCCAGGGTCTTTCCCTCTGTACCATACTGGTAGAAACAAGTAGGCCTCAGGGTGTCCTGAGGTCTGTCTCACTCCATAGGGTAGTGTCTCCCCTACCAACTCAGGGTGCGTGTGTGTGTGTGTGTGTGTGTGTGTGTGTGTGTGTGTGTATGTGAGACTTGATCCAGGTGTAATTTACAGTGCCTGTCCTTGCTATAAAAAGTTTTAGAGATGGCTATGGAATCCAAGTTTTCTGATGTCTAGATTTTATACTATTTCTGTTATTCCATGCTGTGTCTTAGAGTACTTTTGCTTGTGCATTTTGTGAATTGTCATCGCTCTGTGAGCTATAATTATTTAAAAAATAAAGCCCATTCCAATAACCTGGTGGAACGTATAATTCTCAATGACAGGCAGATTGTCAAAAGCATGATCAAACTAATAGAGGCAGAGGCAGCTTGCCCTATTTGATCTAGCAAAGCTTTTAGAGTAGGTGTGAGTTCTAATCCCCTTTCAGCAGGCAATTGGTATCCTGGATAAATCACTTAACTTCCCTCACCTCTCGAACTGTGAAAGAGAATTAGCCACATTACCCTAAGCTGCAAGGAACAGCTTATGGAGTGTTGCATAAAAACATTTTGTCTTTGATTTGTTTTGTTTTTTTGAATTAGAAACTTGGTTTACCCTCACCAAATAAACACACGGAAGGGCACTTTACATTTTGATAGCTCTGTTTTAGATGCCCTGAGCAGGGCCAAAGGATTTCAGATATAGTTGGAAGAGACCAAAAAAGTTTGACTTTTTTTTTTTTAAGCAAATGAGGAAACATCATCTAAAGAGGGCAAGAGTTGGTTTTGGTCCTTCCTCAAAACTGGTCACCAAACTAGTTGGTAGCAGAGACAGCGTTAAAGGCTACTTCCTATAATTCAGAGGTGTCAGACTTAAAAGGAAATGATCCCTACCTCTGTGTATTGACCTAGACAATCACAAATTAACATTATGTCATATTGTATTTTTATTTATCTTGTTAAGTGCTTCCCAATTACATTTCATCTTTTTTGGGCTCATTCAGGTTTTGAGGGTCATTTGCAGCTATGGGCAGTGAGTCTGACCCCTCTGTTCTAATTCACCAAGCAGAGCCGTGTTCTCCATATCTTTGCTTTTCCCACTACCTTTACTCTGGAATAGTGAAAATTAGCCTGTAATCGATCAATTAGTCCTTTTTGTTGTTGTTCAATCCTCTCCAATTCTTCATGATCCCATTTGATTGTTTTTTTTTGTTTTTTAATTTTTTTTTGGCAAAGATACTGGAGTGGTTTGTCATTTCCTTCTCTAGCTCATTTTACAGATGGGGAAACTGAGGCAAACAGGGTTAAGTGACTTGCCTAGGGTCACACAGTGACTAAGTGTCTGAGGCTAGATCTGAATCCAGGAAGAGGAGTCTTCAGGCCCAGCAATCTATCCACTGTACCACCCAGTTGCCCCATAATTAGTCCCTAAGCAATAATTAAGGTCTACTTTGTGCCAGGCCCTGTGCTAAGTTCTGGAGACAACAAAGACAGAAGACTTTCCAGTCTTCTCATACCTTCCTCGCAGACGTGTTCTCTTGGATCCAGGGGTATTGGCCTCTGGGCCTGGATATGAACCAGGCACTCCATCTCTGGGCTCCCTGCATTTTCTCTGTCTGTCCTGGAATTCCCTACCTCCTCCACCCCACCTACTGACCTCCCCAGCTTCTTTTGAGTCCCAACTAAAATCCCTTTTTTTCCACTGGAAGCCTCTCCTAACCCCTCTTAATTCCAGTATCTTCCCTCTGTTAATTGTTGCCTATGTAGTTTGCTTTGTATGTATTTGTTTGAATGTTGTCTCCCCCATTAGAACATAAACTCCTTGAAGGCAAGGACTGTCTTTTGCCTCTTGTTGTATCTCCAGTTTAGCATAGTGCCTGGAACATAGTAGGTGCTTAATAACTGTTTATTGACTGTTTGAAATAGCTTGGGCCCCCGAGGAGCTTACATTTCATCAGGATAAATATGGAATATTCTCTGATAAATACTAAGCATGTCTGTCAACAGAAATAATTAGGATTATTTTCTTTCTTTCCTTACCTTTCTTTTTCTCACCCATCTCCCTTCTTAGTGCTAGTATTTGTGCTAGAGGGTAAAATAGCAAATTGACAGTAACTTGATCAGAGAACAAATAGGTACAAATTGCTCTTAACCTCTGTAATAATATGACAATATCACAAATTTGTTTACTTGTGTTTCTAGGAGATCAGACTAGTACAGTGTCTTACATAAAGTAGGCACTTAAAGTTTATTTAATTAAGACTGGAATCGGCCAGCAAAATGTCAAGTATAGGCTTTTCAAAAGTCCTTTTCTCCGTGACTAATTCTTCCACAGAAACCCCAGGACCTATCAGGTTGCTATTCACGGAAGGTGTAACATGCTTATGTCTGCAGGCTACCCATCTACTTTTTAAACTCAAGCTTTGTTTCCTCATGGTCCTACACACTCCATAAATATTGATTTGAGTTGAGCCTACATGCTTAATAACCAGATATTTTTTGAGCAACTAATATGTGCCTAGTACTGTGCCGAGACGCAAAAACTTCTAAGATGTCGTCCTTTCCCTCAAGGGACTTACAATCTATTTAGGGAGACGAGATATTTGTGTGAAAGATAAAAAGCCCAAGGCAGTACGTGACAAATCGGCAAATCAGCCATCCCTGAAGAGACAAGCCGGAAGTTAGGTGAGAATCAGGACGCGGGAGGCAGCAGCTAAGTGGCTCAGTGGATAAAACACCGGCCCTGGAGTCTGGAGGACTTGAGTTCAAATCTGGCCTCAGACACATGACGCTCACTAGCTATGTAACTTTGGGCAAGTTACTTAACCCCAGTTGCCTCACCAAGATGGAGGGAAAAAAAAAAAGAATACAAATGATAAGGGAAACACTCAGAGGGAGTAGATCACTATGGGTTAGGGGGGCTGGATGGAGAGGGTGAGCCTTGAATTGGTCTTCGCTGAAAACTGTAAGACTCATTCATTCGTTCAATTGTTCAGCAAACATTTAGTGCCTGACAAGGTACTGACATTGTGGGGCATGGGGTGCTCAGGGAGGACCAGCCCCTCTGGTGTGGGGGCTTGCCCAGCCTTTTTCAGGGCTGCTTCTCCACCTTTGGCGTCTGCTTGGTGCTCAGCTCTCACCCACAGCTCCAAGAAGCTGTAGCGTGTGCAGCAGCCATCCCAGGAAACCTTCTCAGATGTGCTAACCCTGGTGGAAGGTAACCGACCAGCCTCAAATCCTGGTGAGTTAAGGGGATGTCTGGCGTGTGAAGACTTCCCCTGGTGGAATGGAATGATCTGTTCCAGTAGTCACGAAGGCGGCTGTAGCAGGCGCCCGTGGACTGCTTAGAGCTCGGTCAGGTGTTGAAGGCGCCGAGGTTATCCCCTGCATCCTGGACCACGGCCAGTGTTCTGACTTTTGTCCTGCCGCCGGACTTCAGTGACTTTGGAAGAGGGAGTGAAGCTGATGACTTTGTGCAACTCTGCCTCTTAAATCCAGTTCACTTGCAAGTCAAGACATCGTCCCGTGATGTCATTGGTCCTCTTTGAAAAGCGAAGCACCCCCAGCAGCACCTGACAATTGCATACAGAACACAACAATGAGCACTCATTATTCCAGTAAAGGGACCAGAGAGGCCAGGCTGGCTGCAGCAGTTTCTTGAAGGGATGGGAGAAAAGGAAGGGAGCAAGCTTCTATCAAGTGTCTACTATTCTCCATACGCTGTGCTAAGAGCTTTACAAATAATATACAGGGAGCAATACATTGGTTATTATTATCTCCCTGTTCAACAACCTTCAGGGCCTTCTTTCCTGTCACTTTTAGGCTAAATCACTCTGATGGTTGCCTCACCATTCCACAAACAGCAAGTTCGTTTCCACTTTCACACTTTCCCTGGTAACGGTCCTCCCTCCCCCACCTTCTGTTAACCCAAATCCTTCAGAAGATGGAGACCCATCTTCTCCACAAAGCCTTTCCTGACTACTCTAACCCATATTGACCTTGCCTCTGAACTCTGAACAGTAGGAAAAACTGCATCACAGAATCTAGCGCTTAGAAATATACTGCTTTATATTGTCCACTATTGTCATCGTTTGGTTGTAGGGCTGAATATAAGGTCCTCAGAGTTAGGGGAGATGGTTTATATTGCTTTTTCTCTTTCACAGTGCCTTGCACAGGGCAAAGTCCAAAATAAATCTTTATAAAGACTTGTTGAACTAAAAATAAGCTGAATGTGGAGTAATTACAATGACAATTCTTGGCCCCAAGAAGAGGCGAGGAAGTACATCCCTCATTTCTGTCGAGAGAAGGGGATAATGAGTTCAGAGTATTGCATTCTGGTAGAGGAATAGCACCACTCCGTTGGTTTTGCCTCATTTGTTTTTGTAAAATGAATTAATTTTGGTGGTGGTGGACGTCTCACAGTATAGCTGCAAATCAAAGAAATGTATTTTTAAAAATAGAAATAAATACTTTTTGAATTGTTGGTTAGATTTTTTTAAAAAAATGCTACCTTTCTTCTATTAACCAATAAGAAATTAAGGAAGAATGGTCAGAATTATATTCCTACTAGATCCCTTAATCAGATTAAACTTGGTTATGATGGGGACTTCTATCCTTTATTAGATTTTTTTGCCATCTAATCATTGAAAACGTGGTTTCCTTATTCCTGTGCATCCCAGTTCATCCCAACCCCTGCTTTATAAACAGCAGTGCTATCAGAAAAGTTGTTAGAGTGAGTTAGCCGACAGAAATGAGGCTCAGGAGGGTAAAAAGCCGGTTTTCAGCTCAGCTATGTGCCTGTGAAGGAAAGACCGTCCTTGCCAGAGGCAATAGCATTGGGGCCTTCAAGGGAAATACATGATTACAGAAAGCAGGAGAGTGGGTGGATGTACCAGCTATCTGAGAAAGTCCATGATAGGAGTCAGCCCCTTTTGAAAAATGACAATCACTGTTCTGCCTGGCATCAAGTATTTTGTCGATAAGACCAGGTATTAATGAGGCCAAGGTCAAGGTTTAATACTCACGTGGGCCATTCAGCTTCTTACTGAGCAATTCTGTGACCAAATGCCCCCCCCTTCTATACCCACCCCTAAATCAGGCTAGCCAGCCTTCTCTCAAAAAGAAAACATGGCCAGAGAGTGTGATTGTACAAGGGCAACTAATAGCTACTCAAAATACCAGCTTTTACTAATCAATACGCATTCTAACGGCTTTTATTTTATTTTTTTAAGGCAATCAAGGTTGACTCGCCCGGGGTCACACAGCTAGTAAGTGTCTGAGGCCAGATTTAAACTCAGGTCCTCCTGACTCTAGGGCCAGTGTCTCTATCCACTGCCCCACCGCCCCGCCCCTCACAGCAAGCATTTTTAAGTGCCTCCTGTGTACGAGTAACTGTGCTATGTGTTGATGGTTGGTTATATGCAGGGATGTACTGGCAAGTGTTTAATGACTGGCTATCTCCCCCAAATCTACCCACAATACACTTTTAAGTCCAGTCTACATTATTGGCATTTTCATCAACATCTCCTTAAGTCTAGAAACCAACAGAACAATAAATCAAACCTTGATGTATAGTTTTTGTTTGTTTTTTGGCCAATTTCCGCGGTGTAAATGTTCCAACTGAAATTTAACCATTGGCTCCAGCTGATTAGAGTTGGGGATACTGAGGGATCTGCTGAAGAATCTGCTGAAGGACGTAACATGTATTTTGTACGTTGATGAGTAAGAACAAGATAATTTGAGGAGGGAGGGAACACTGACTCCTGGGAAGGTCAGGAAAGGAGTGACTAGATCAGCATGTCCTGGATATGCCATCTTCCTCGAAGGTGGAAGGTGCACATTTTTTGCATGCAGTACTGCTTAGGCAGCATCTCCGACCAGTGTGGTCCAGATGCCCCACTTAGTCTCCACCTGTGCTTTGATAGCGTAATAACAACTGACATTTAACCCACTTTAAGGCGTGGGAAGAGAGCAGTCATTTAACCTCTCAATGCCCTAGGCAGTTCTCTAAGAGTATGAATTGTGCAGTTGCTGATCTACTTTGGGAGTCCCCTTGCCGGGATTTCCCTATGCCAATTTAATGCACACTTATTATTAAGTGCCTATGATGTGAGAGACAGCATGGTGAGACTGGATAGAAAGATCTGCAGCCTCAGAGCTACAGAGACCTGGGTTCAAGTCCTACATCTGGCCCATATGAGCTGAATGACCAACCTTTTGGTGCTCTAGGCAGGTCACCGACACTATGAATCACAGAGAAGTAACAGACTTGCAGGATAGAACAACTCTGGCATTCCCTCCAACGATGAAATCACAGACCCAGTTCCTTTCTGGTATTTGTTAGAGACTAGGAGACGTTTTTCCCCATCAGCAGAGAAAAGTGAGCAGAGAAGAAGCCCCCACCAGGTGAGGGTGGGAAATTCGAGTTGTAACTGCAGAGTGCATCGTCCAAGTTTCTTTAGTTCTCCGTAATTTCTCCTTGTATGAGCACGCAAAAGAGCAGAAGCCACACAATTTCCACAAGGTGAAAGGGGCAGAATGTCTGGAGTCTGGGTCTGTCTGGAGCCTGCCCATTATGGAGCGCAATGATT